TGTCTCTTATTAAGTTATTTAAAGAAATATACTTATAGTCGTCTCCACTTTCCTTTGTCCTCTTGTGAAAGGAAAGTCCTCTTGGATGGAGTACACAGTTTATCTCTGTTGGTCAAGTCAGGCCACTTTCTCCTCGCCTCCTGTTTGTCAAGGGACTGTGAATTTTTCTACTCCGGTATTAACTTCTTCTACACTTTTCATTCTGTTCTCCCCTCCAGCAATCTTTCTTACATCCCAAGTCATTTTACATTTAAAGCTAAATACTGTATTTCAAATTGGAACACCAGACCCTCTATTTTTCACAAAGATCTTTCTGAAGACCCAATTTCTATGATAATGATGCATTATATAGCTCCATGGCAAAGAAAAAAAAAGAAAGAAAACAGAAAAAGAAGAAAGAAAAAAGAAAAGAAAAAACCCTTGTCCTTCCTCATTTGCTACACACATTAGCACAGGCTTCAAGTTTCAAGTTTCAAGTCCCCTGTGGAGTTGGGTAAGATTTTTCAGCTGTTCTCCCTTCCCTTTCCTATTTTATTTTTTATTGTCTTTTTTTTTTTAAGAAAAGTCTGGTTGTGTTGATGAGCACTTATCACTTCTAAATAAGAGCATGCTTTCATTTACTGAAATTAGATCCCCATTCACTTCCCTGGCACTGTCCAGGCTGTCTACTCCAGAGGGTTTAGGGCCTGTTAGTTGGCGCACAGTTGGAAATTGGGGGCATTGAGTGGCTGCCAAGGCTGGCAGACCTTTAAGATGGCATCTGGTGACCTTTTGCTGAGCCCCCTGGGTCGTTCATTTGAGATTTTATGTTCCTGGCAGGGGTGTAATCCAAATCAAATGTGAGATCTGGTGAGGTGGAGTTACACAGGCGGTAGGACCAACAGGGATCCCTACATTGCCTTGGGCAGAGGAGGCTACTACAGGCCCTTAACGTCCTCTTTCTAACCCTGAGACTCTAAGCTCTGGTAGAAGGTGGCACTGAAGGGCTGGTTTACAGATAGAGCTCAGTGTGAGAGAGGGAGCAAAGGAACTGTTTTCTCATTTATTTATCATTCGGCAACAGCACAGCAATCCTCCCTAATTGCCCTAGTTCCTGGATGACACTGAACTCTTCATGGCACCTCCTGGAGCAGCAGGGGGAGGTCGGAAGTACGTATGCAGAAGCTAGCTGTGTGGCGCTTCCAAGAATCATCCATGGCATTCTTTCCCTTTCTTTTGAAATGGCAAATTTCTATTTTCAGTAATGTAGGTAGCTAGTGCACAAGCCTGGAGGGAAGAACTGTGAGTTCGTGAACAACATAACAACAAATGTGTGCTGTGGGATTGTTTGTGCTAACCACAGGCACAGGCTGTTTCTCAGCGACAGTCATTTTCATGTTAATTTTTAAAGTGCTATGTATTTTTTTAAACAGCTTTTACTTGAAACAGATTTTACAGGTTATTTTTGGTTTTACATCCACTGTGGCTGTTTTCAAAGAGAGGCAGATACATTTCAGAATTTCTCAGGCCATTCTGTCCTGAGACTGCCCAGAAAAGGGTTTTGAGGGTAATTGAAACAAACATAACATATAGTCCTTGCTTCCATCCAGCAGAGAATTTCTATGCTCCACAACTATTTCTGCCTTCAAAACTTGCACTTCCTGCTTTGGTTGCCTGCTTTTCTGCTTTCTGCTCCTCCAGAATCCCAAACTTTGGTGGACTGTCTACATACTTTATTGGTATATAAGATCTGAGTTTGCAGGCAACCAAGTAAACTTGGGTTTAAAACCTAAGCTCACTACTGAAAAGCTATGTAGAACTGGACAAGTCACATAAACTTTCTGAGCCTTGATTTCTTCATCTTAAAATAAGAATAACATGAACACCTGCCTATGGAGTTGATAAATAAATTAAGGTATATAAATGGCTATAGTGTGGCTATCATATAGTTAAAAGCTCAATAGCACAATTTATTTTTGTAATCATTGCAGACCATAGTTATTTCTCTTTGTTCTTATCTTCAAACAGTACTGATTCTTTATAATATTCATTTGGCATTTATTTATATGCTAACTAATTATGTTTCATATTTTTATGTAATTTTCATACCAACTTCTTTTAACACTTTAGAGAAATATATCTACATTTACATAAAATACACTTGTCAAAGCCAACCACACAATGATATGATATACCAACCACACAAATATGATATACCCATTCACCAAACACCCAGATCAGGAAAGAATAGACCAGTATCCCAGAAGACCCCCACACTCTCTTCGGTATTCTGTACCTTACAAAGATAACCACCATCCTGTCTTGTAGAATTGTTTATATCAATTGTTGACTTAATTGTTCATGTTATTTTTGTGCAGCCAAATGAAAAGTAAGTTTGTTGATGTCAGGGAACTAATATCTTTTCTCACATCTCAAGAACTGTGTGTGTATATATTTCTTGTAAGATTCCCATCTTGCACTGTTACCCTTCCTCTGAACCTGTCTTGGAAAGTCCTAGTCATAGGTGAGCTCCATGAAGACTAGTGTTCAATCTGGAGGAGAGTATCCAGCCATCCAACTGATACTACAAAACCTGTAGTCTCCAACTTAACTGGCCCCTGTCTTATTTTTCTGATCAGTTCTCTTCCACTCTTCAAAAACCATCTGTCTTTAATTCTGACTCTCTATCTCACTATTTTACCCATGAGACCTAACAAGTAACTGTCCCTTGTTATCAGAGGAAAAAAACTCAAGATGTTGGCAATCTCACCAGCCTCTTGTTACCACAAACAAACAGTTGCCTAGAAATACCCATCTCACTAACACCTTTCCCTGATGTTCCCTTCCTGCTTCTTTCCTCTTAGTGACATTCCATCTACTTTGGTCAGATTGCAATTCATCAATGACATCCTCTCCTTTCTCCAGGTCTGCCGGCTCTTCACCATTGGCCCGTTAATGTGCCCAGGTCCCTGCCAGCTTTAAACATGACAGTAACCAAGCGCCATCTGAAACTCACATTCCACATCTACTCCCACCCTATCTTTCCCTTCTTACAGTCAGAATCTTCACCAAGGTCTTTATGCCTCCTGTCTACCATTTATCCCCTCTCTTTCTTCAGCTCCTTCAGTCTAGGATTCACCTCCATTATCTCATAGGATCCCCCCGCGCCCCGACACACACGCAACATCCTTACAGCTAAACCACATAGATCCTTTTCAGAACTTACCTTTCTCAGCAGTGTTTGAAATTGTTGTCTCTTCACTCTCCCTGGATTATCCTCTTTGCTTGGCTGCCAAACCCCCACTCTCCTTGTTTCCCTCCTACTTTACTGGAAATTGCATTTTAATCTCCCTTTAGGGAGCCCTCTTCCCTCCATAAACATGCTTTCCATCAGAGTTCTTTCTTAAAATTGCTTTTCTTCTACGCTACCACTTCTACAACAGGATGACCATAAAAAAATATCCATTCATTCAAATCACTGCCTCTCGTTTGACCTTATTCAAATCAGCAAAAGTTTTATTCTCAGATAACATGTCATGCTTCAAAGTGGATTCTTTGCACCATATCAAAGGAACAGCTAATACTTAGCCTTCTGGTGGAAAGCATAGCTACCTTGAATTTTATTTTTTTTATGATTATAAAATGACATGTTATCATTTAGAATAATAAGATATAATATGACACATATAGGGCACAATTTTTCATTTCTCTGGTTGTATACAAAGTATATTCATACCAATTCGTGTCTTTATACCTGTACTTTGGATAATAATGTCCATCACATTACACCATCATTTCTAACCCTATGCCTCTTCCCTTATTATCCAAAGTATATGTATGAAAATATGAATTGGTGTGAATATACTTTGTATACAACCAGAGATTTAAAAAATTGTGCTCTATATTTGTAATAAGAATTATAATGCATTCTGCTGTCATATATAAATAAAAAATAGTTTTAAAAAAGATACAATATGATATAATGTATTAAAGTGCAGTATAATACCCCAAGTTCTATCATCTAGAGATACTTACCTGTTAATTTCTGGCATTTTTTTCTAGACTAAATAATAAGCCCACACATTACTTACATACATTTTATTTGTTGAAATAATAATATTGTTCACTTATTTTTATGACTGGGCATTTATTTGTGTCATTAAAATTAATCATAAATATTTTAATGGCTCTACAATGTCTATCCTATGAATATAGGATCATCCAAGCATTACTACATATTTCAAGTTTTCAAATTTCTTCTATATATTTTTTTCTTAGTACACATTCATAAAAATTGATCTACTTTACCAAAAAGGTTTAGCTGTCTGACTCTTAAGGAAATCTTATAAAATCACCCACTTCAAGTATTATGTCTATTTATGTGGCATTAGTACAGGTCTTTCTTATTTTCAGAGATGTTTTCTACATTTAAAATAATGTTATTGTTTTGATTCAGAAGTCTTTAGTTATTAAACAAAGTTGGCTTTTTGTTAATTTTGTTTGTTATTTATATATTTTTAAAAACCATTCCTTCCATTTTTTTCCTTTCTCCTACCTGTTAAATATTAAATGTAGATGAAACAGTACTGAGAGAAAAAGAAATCTCCATGTGAGGCATCTGAAGAGAGACGGAGCAGAGCTGGAACTGGCAAATTGTGCTGACTTTCTTCCTTTTCTAGTTGCAAAGGCTGAAAATACCTGTTAGATTTGTAATTGAGAAATGTAATAACCTTTAGGGCCATTTTTCACACTGTTCACAGCTTCCCATAAGGGTCAGGAGAAGATGGATGGGTGATATTTATGAGGAAGTAGGGAGGGAAAAAAATGAAACCTGGAAAGACAACAGCACTCTCTCTATGGCAAATGATCCATAGACAAATACCAACATTTACTTCTGCATTCCACTCTGCCGAGTTAACGATACTCATGCCACCAGACTAACACCTCCTGTTTCTCATGTCACCCTAGTGTTTGAGGAGTCTGCCCCATGAGTAACAAAGTGCAAAACTGTTTCTTCCCAGCAAACAGAAAGAGAACCTGGAGGTGGAAACTGAAACAGCGCTCCAGAACCCCAGGACTGGGAATTCCAGGCAGATGAGTAGGGACGCACCAGCTCCCACTGACCCCTCTGATCACAAAACCATGGATAACCAAGATGACATAGAAGAGGGTAAGCACCCAGCCAACACCCAGAAACCAGAGAACCGCCAGGAACTCCTAACAGGAACATACTGTGGCAGATTCCTGGATGGCAAAGTGAGTAACGAGAAATTCCCGAGCTTTTCTTGGTAATTTACTAGGAAAATGGAAAAGAAAATATAGGGTTCCCCAAACACACACTTGTAAACATAAAAATTAATATGTTTTGCATGAAATGGAAATTAGAATCATTACTTTTTCAATCTGAAAATAAATTTCAAGATCATCTGTATACTACATCTTTGTTGACCACCAATTGAGTTGGTCAACCTACTCTGGCTGTAGCTAAATCAGTGATATTCAGTAGTAACTACAGTGATTAAATATCACTATCTGTGCAAAGTTCTGGCCTGATGGAGGAGCAGGGTTTGTCTTTGTTCACATTACAGGAAGAGATAATTTATTTTCAAAATCCAATGCAACCATGTCTAAATATCAAAAAATTATAGGCCAAAAACTGTCTTGATAGAAATATGTATCACTGCATGCTGTTAACAATCAATCAAACAATCCATAACAAACTGACTTTATAATGATGAATCTAAATGATTAGTAATTTGTAATTAAAAAGCAAGTATAGCAGCAATTGAAAACTGGATCTAAATCAAGACAAAACTAATGATTCATTGATAACAAAGTACAATTTCCAAAAATTGCTGAAATTGCAATTAAACAGATACATAGGGTAGGAGTTTTGCAATGCTGCCAAGCTCTAAGTGACAGCCAGATATTTTAGTAGAATACTGATTAGGGTCTGCAGCAAACTCTAACATAACTATTTTTGGTTGAAAAATTTAATAGCCCTTTTAAAATCACTGAGATACTATCTAGTCTTTAGTTGTATGAGAAAAGGACTACCTGGGGATTTGTGGTCTTTTACTCATAAGAACTACTCAAAGTATTACAGATTTTGAGTAGTGGAAGCTTACCAATGGACGTCACACGTTGCTCCACAAGGTCTAGTTCAACACTGAAGTCCATTTATAAAAGTGACTCTTTCAAAACGTTTAGTGGCATAGCCTAGGCTGGAACCAGGGCCTCCTAGTCTCCATTTATTGAGTTTTGTTTTTGTTTTGTTTTGGCTTTCCCAGAATGAGTTTTTGAATTTTGTTTCTTCTTAGAGCAGGAGATAATGAATCTGGAGAGGTGAAATAATCTAGGATGAATTTCTGAAGACTTTTGAGTTGTACCCTCAAATTTGACTCTGACATTGATAAATTTCTTGTTGTTCCTGTTGCTTCCCAAGGATGACATTGGTAATAATAATTCAGTTAAAAAACACTTATTATTGACTGCTTGCATGTAAATTTTATTATTAATAAAATTAATAAATAGTGCTACTATTAATAGGTAGCACTATTACTTCCATCATCGTGGTATGGATGATAAAACTGAGACTCAGAAAAGTTGAAGTGACTCAGGTGTGCAGGTAAGATGTTTACCCAGGTCTTTTTAAATCTTATTTTTCCTTCTTCTTCACTTGAATTTTTCATTGATCATTCTAATTATAAAATATTTCATACATATTTTTAATTGATCATTCTAATTATAAAATATTACTTACGTACTCATGTAGAAATTCAGGAAAAGAGAAGGAAGTAAAATGTAACCAAAGAAACTAGTGGTTCTCTTGCCCTTGATTTCTCTTCTTTTCTCCATGAGTAGATACAGAATGGAATCATTATGTGTATGTTCATTGTTATCCTGCTCAATTCACTACATATATAGAATTCTCTCCTTGGAATGAAAAAAAAATCATCCTACACATCATATTTAATGACTCTGTAAGAGTCATATTCAGAACTAACACTTGGATAGCATTTGCTATGTGCCAGGCACTATTCTAAGCTTTTTACATATATTAACTAATTTACTCTTCCCAAGCACCCAGTGAGGTAGGAACTCTTATTATCTTTAGTTCATGGATAAGGAAACTGAATAACAAAAGGTCAAGTGACTTGCCAATTTCATAAGGCTAACTAGTGACAAAGTCATAATTCAAGCCCAAGTAGTAGGTCCTGAATCACTAAATTGCATCTCTTCCTCTCTATAAATATAATGTGGTTGATTTAATATGTCCCTTATCTAGTTTTCCTCTTACAAATGGAAATTTGTAAATCAATTCTAGTTTTCCTCTTACAAATGGAAATTTGTTTCTTGACACTTCTCCTAATACCTCCACCCACCATTCGTGCCATGAATTCTGCATCCACCAGTGCAATGGGCAGAATGTTCATTGGGTGAGCAGTTCTTGGACCTCCGTGATCTGGAATCTTTGCTGGGTCTATGGTAGCAGAGAGAGGGGATTTGCCTCTCTTTTCTCAGAACTCATCAGGGTTTTGTGGGAGGCTCAGCAGGGCTAACACCCAGCCACCAAATTCAGGAAGGCCTCGTGGGAAGTGTGGGGACTGACTAATTGGTTCTGTCTGCCAGGCAGGCCTGTAATGCTGGCTTGCCAGATGGCTGCCACCGTAGCCGGCTACAGAGACCCTCATTACCACCTTGACTAAGTGGTAAATGGAATCCTGCCGCAGTTACAGAAGCAAACCAATCAGAACTCCTTCTAGATCCTTGTCACTCACACATAGATGAAAATAAGTTTCCCTGCCTGGGACATAACAGGCAATCTGGACTGGCTGAATTTGCTCCAAAAGCAAAGTTGCTGATAAAGACGGAGCTAACATGAGTGAGGATGAGCAAGTGTGAAATAACAGATTAAGTTCAATGAGTATCATTGGTAGGGGGTAAATAAAGCTGAAAATGCTGCAAGAATCCATTTTAAGTATATGAGAACAATAAGGTATTGTATAGATCAACAAGTACAAAGCTTGATTTCACAAATGAAAAACAAGAGACCCAGAGGGCTTCAGTGATTTGTGAAGATTCATGTGAAGAGAGCTTGTTTCCTCTTCCCATCATCCTTAGGATGTTTCTCCTGGAGAGTCTGCTCCTAATGGGTAAGTCTTTGAAGATGTATATATTGTTATATTGTTTTTCAGAATCATTAGCTTTGCCTTCTCTCAGAAAAATAAAAAAAAAAGTGTGACGAGCAACAAACTCAGTAACACAGTTTCAAAAATAAAATTTGATCATGATTTTTGCATCTGTCAGCATGAAAATAAAAGTGTGCTTTAATTTTAATAGTCTTCACAGTTCACTGTGTGGGCATGATTTTCTAAACCCTTTGGCATGTATTTTCCTTGTTATACTCCATGAGGTAGGAAGAAGCACATGATTCTATCTTCATTGAATAGATGAATAGGCAGAGGTCAAAGACCAGGAGGGTATTCACAGTGTATTCACCATGTGCAGAGCAGAACCTGTGATCCTGCTCTTCCTTTGGTAGTCTGTATCTCCTAGAAGGATCCCACCATTCTTCCATTGGTGCCAGCAAGAAACCTGAGCATACTTTCCTTCTCTCTCTCCAACCCCCCACTCTGATGTCCAACCAATCTCTTTTCCATTATTCCACCTTCGTGTCTCTCAGAATGTTTTCTTTCATTTGTTTCTTCTGTCATCGCCCCAGTCAGACCACCATTCTATCCCACCAGTGACTTTAGTGTTCCTCAAACTACTTTCTTTTCTCTAAACCTCCCTATCTGTACCGGTTAGCTATTATAAATCAATACCGCGGTGTAATAAATCACCCAGTACTCAGTGGTTTATAACAATAATTGAATATGCTTATATTCAAATATATGAGCCAAGGCAGCATTTACTAAGCTCATGTGGGTTTTGTCTGGGCTTGGCTGTATCTGCTTATTTGGTTCAAGTCTGCTTGTTTTTCTTATTCTGAATCCATCGGGTCCCTCCAAGCATGTTCATCGCATGGTGATAGAGGACAAATTCAACTATTCAAGTACATTTTAAGTCTTTGCTTATGTCATACCCACTAACATATTGTTGGTTAAAGCAATCAGTCCACCACATGGCCAAGCACAACACCGATGAGTCGGTGATTGATACATATATATATGCCATGTAAATAGAAGACCTATAGAATTCAAAAGAAAAATCTACCTAGTATAATTTGTGTAAGGTAAAGTTTACATCACAAATGAACAGGGGAAAGATGGACTTTTTAATCAGTGATATTGAGATTATTGGAAAGTCACACAGAAAATTTAAATTGGGCCTATTCCACATATGTCATACATATATGGAATATATATATATTATATATGGTATATGGTATATTATATATGGTGTATATATATATCTCCTGGGCTGAAAGAGAATTTTCTTAACTCTGACTCAACATTCACATATACTAAGAAAAAGAGTGAAATTTTCACTATTTATTTATGGACAAAACCACTGTAAGCAAAGTACCAAAATCTGAAAAACTGAAGAGAAATTTGCCATTGATACCATGATAAAATATAGACCTAACACATAGGATTGTCTATGTGAAAAAAGAGATTAAACTATTAGAAAAATAGGCAAAATGAACAAACAAAATGAATTTGTTTTTACAGAAAAACAAATGTAAATGTTTCTTAAACTTACCAAAAAACAGAACCTTGCTCTTAATAAGTAGAACATAAATTAATTCTTTCTTACAATAAAATTTTCTTACTGGCAAAATCAAGAAATTGATAGCATGCTTTGTTTAAAAGCTGTGGCAAAGAGATACTTTGCTATACCGATAAAGGAAATTTAGAATGGAACAACCACTTTGGAAGAAAACATTACAATGATTAGAAGCTCTTCCTATGCATTTAGTTTTTAGTATGAAAATTGCACTTTCAGAAATCTATCTTAAGAAAACACTGGAAAATTATTAGATGTTTCATTCCGAAGGTATTCATTACAACATTACTTGTTATACCAAAAAATAAACAACTTAAATGTTCATCAATAAGGAATGGCTGAATAAACAAAGATACATCCATATATGGAGTACTATGAAACTATAAAAAGAAATTATGGGGCTAGGGATATACATCAGCTAGTAGAGTGCTTGCTTCACATGCACAAGGCCCTGGGTCCAATCCCTAGCACCAGAAAGAAAGAGAAAGAAAGAAGGAAAGAAAGAAAGAAATTAGGAACTTTTA